ATGACATGCTTAAGACCTCGCAGTCACTGACTTACATCGTATCAGTGTCCCTGCTGGATACAGTTTTTCACTGAATGAAAGCTGCAGTTGAGAAGGAAGATAGTTTTTAGCACATGACTGTGGAAGTGGCTCGTGATCGATGGTCAGATTTCCACAATGCTAAACAGTGAACAGAACCAGCGAGTAAAACAAAAGCAGATCATTCAACACAATGTTGAGATTTTTCGGAAAGTTTGTTTTATCATCCAAGACGATGCTGAATGTTTTATATAGAGATTTTTCATTTTCTGGATTAGTGGTTTAAATGTTACATAGTGCTATATTACTATTTCTTTTTTTAATAACAGCTTTACTAAGATATAATTCACACACCATACAGTTCACCCATCTAAAGTGTACAGTTCAGTGATTTGTAATATATTTAGAATTACTCAGCCATCACCACTGTCAAATTCAAGGATATTTCATCACCCCCTCAAAAACCCTAGACCCATTAGAAATGACTCACCATTTCCCACCATCCTCCCAGACCTAGGGTCTACTTTTTCTTTTTCTATGGATTTGCCTATTCTAGACATTTCAGATAAATGGATCATACATTTATGTGGTCCTTTGTGACTAGCTTCTTTTACTTAGCATAGGTTTCAAGATTCATCCATGTTATCTATGTCATGCCATGTATCAGTACTTTTTATTATTGAATGATACTCAGTGTGTGGATATATTACACATATTCATCAGTTGAGAGACATTTGGGTTGGCCGTTGTGAATAATGCTGTGAGCGTGGGTATACAAATTTTTGTGTGGACATATATTTTCAATTATCTTGGGTATACACCTAGTAGTGGGCCATACGGTAGATCTTCGAGCAGTGGGTCATGTGGGAACTCTGTATGTTTAACCTTTCGAGGGGGACTTTTCCAAAGTGACCATACCGTCTCACATTCCCACTGGCAGTGCGTGAGGGTTCCAGGTTCTCCATGTCCTCCTCAGCTCTCGTTTTATTTTTGTGCTTATAGCTGTCCTAGTGATGTGAAGTGTTATCTTACTGTGGTTTTGATTTGCATTTCACTGATGACAGATGATGTCGAGCATCTTTTCATGTGCTTTTTGGCCATTTGTCTGTTTTATTTGGAGAACTACTTATTCAGATCTTTTGCCCATTTTTTAATTGGGTTATTTGCGTTTTTATTCTTGAGGTGTAGATGTTCTTGATATATTCTAGATATAAGTCCCTTACCAGATATGAAATTTGCAAACATTTTCTCCCATTCTGTGGGTTATCTTTTTACTTTCTTGATGGTATCCTTTGAAACACAAAAATTTTTAATTTTGATGAAGTCCATCTTAAGCTATTGTGTTGTTGTTTGTACTTTTGGTGTCATAGCTAAGAAACCATTACCCAGTCAAAGGTCATGAAGACTTATGCCTGTGCTTTCTTTTAAGTGTTTTGTAGCTTTAGCTTTTATATTTAGATCTTTGATCCATTTTGCGTTAATTTTTGAATATGATATAGGGGTCCAACTTTATTCTTTTATATGTGGCTATCTAATTGTCCCAGCACCATTTGTGGAAAAGAATTTGATTACGTGTCTGGTTTTAACAGAGGAGAATAAGAGTGCTTTAGGATCGTGGGGTGGCAGTGCTGTGACGCTGGTCTGTGTAGCGTTAGAAA